CAGAGACCCTACAAAGTATGTATATGTTATTGATATATAATAGTCCCTCAGGTTTTGAGATAACGATCAGAAATTTTGCACACGTCCTTTTGTTACCAAGACGCTACTCATTTGTCGGAGCCACCGATAACGGGCCACTATAGCATATAGCTCCCATATAAACTGAACGAACTAACAAAAAATTAGAATTAGGCTTTGTTTTCAATAACACAAAGAAATCAAGTCTTTCCCGTGAATATAACATAAGCGTCAAACACCAAATTTTACATGAGAAATTTTTTGTAGTTTTATAGAACAGTTTACCAATGTTGATTGGCGTATTTCAGAGAAACTAGATGTAAAGTATATTTATGATGTAATGTACCTACATAATATATTGGTCTTAAAGTTTAGTTTGGGCAAAAACTACTATATTTCGCGGGTTGTCGGAAGGGCATATATGCTGAAAATACTGTCGCTTGCGTTCAATGAATTACGTTGATCAATAACTTTTTTTAGACTTATTTTTATACTCTCGCAACATAGTAACTAATCGAGTTAGATACAGGGTTATATACCATATACACATATTATATAAATGATCAGGGCGAAGAGACAAGTTGAAATCCGGGTGACTGTTTGTCCGTCCGTCCGTCCATCTGTGCAAGCTGTAACTTGAGTAAAAATTTAGTATCTTTATGAAACTTAGTACACATAATAGGTTTAATGTGCATATCTCCTAAACCGCTAAAGCTATAATAACAAAATTCACAGAACAAATGTTTTTAGCACCTCTATCGATAGTTGAAAATGGGTGAAATCAGGTGACTACCCCGCCCACTCCCCATATAACGGTACTGTTAAAAAATACTAAAAGCGCGATAAACCAAGCACTAAACACGCCAGAGACATTAGATTTTATTACTGCGATGGTATGAGATGACTTTATAAGAACCGGGTTCAAAATTAGACAGTGGGCGTGGCACAACCCACTTTTAGGTGAAAACCCATATCTTGGGATCTGCTTAACCGATTTCAACCAAATTTGGTGCATAACGTTCTTTTTATATTTCTATGGTATAGTGCGTAAATGGGAATGGGAAATCGGACTACAACCACGCCTATTTCCCATATAACACCATTTTCAATTCCATCTGATTCTTTCACTTTCCACTATGCAAATCAGGCAAGAATGACTGTATCGGGATAAAACTTTGCGTGAATAATGCGATTAAAGTATGCCACCTTGTGACCAAAAATGTCTAAGTCGAACCAAAACTGTTCAAGCCCCTAAGTACTAAATATGTGGACCCCGTGCCTATAGTTGACCTTCTACCGAAAATATCAGCCAATCCACAAAGAAATCTCAAACGAGTATACCATTTGACTTTGCGAGAGTATAAAATGTTCGGTTACATCCGAACTTAGCCCTTGTTTAATATAAGGTTTTGCCACACCTGAAGGAAATTTGAATTGCGAGAGTATAAAATGTTCGGTTTCATCCGAACTTATCCCTTCCCTACTTGTTATATATTGAAATGTTGTAATAATACAGGTTAAATGATTCATAGGTACGAGGGTTGGTTTGAGCACCTCTTTCGGGACCACACTAATATGCCGCGAAGGGTTTCGCCTACGTGCTTTAACTCCGTCAGCTTCGTATCTACCTTGCTGGACAACCGTTTATTGGCTCTTGCATCTCATTGTACTTATACTCTGTTTATTGCTCTCGTTTCGCTCTTTCGCAAGTTAGAAGTTCGTATGTCTGTGCTTTCTGTCCACCCAGGTTATGACATTTTTAATAAGTCGCTGCGTCCATTGCCCTTTGGTTAATGTATCCCAATATTTTTGCCACTCATTTAGACTCTTGTCTTTCTTTTATTTTACCATTTTGGTATATATTTTATAGGTTAACGCTTGTTGGTTGAATTTTGCTAAAAGTAACTTTCTCTCTTGGTTTGATCCACCAATGTTGGCCATAATTCGCGCTAGTGCCGAAATTACTCGCTTAATGATGGCTGAGCTTTAATTGCATATCCGTCAATGTTTAGAGTAATGGTCTCTAGTTTCTTCCTACTTGAAATCAGGACTGCTTCTGTCTTTTGGCCCGCCAGCTAAAGTTTCGACACATCGAGCCGGTTTTAATTTTTTAAGACCTAGCTACACAGACGCTCCTTTGCTACAATTGGCACAGTAATGTCATTAGCATATCCAATTATTTTAGCCTCTTTATTCAATATATACAGTGGCGATGTGCACCACTTTGCATCCTAAGTGCTGTATAATTTTTTAGGACAGCTAAAATAATACAAATTTTCAAGATAAGTTTATGTACTAATTGCAGAATAAAATAAATGTTTATTCACAAAAACAAAAGAGAAATACAACAAAAACTGAAGTAAACTTATTAAGTACAGTTTTGCTCGTAAAAAGTAAATTACCTAAAATAACCATATTGAATATTTAATTCAAAGACTGGCATACTTTTAACTAAATTTTCTATTATATCCTTCGGTATACTTCTCCATTCGATTTGTGCTCTGCTCCATAGCTCCTCCATATTGCTCGGCGCTGTTCGGTGTTTGCACAATCTCCTCTTTACAATTTTCAATCGGGTTAATGTCGGGATTTTATGCTGGCCATTGGATGAGTTGAAATCGTTGACATTGGAGCCAGTGAGTAACAATTTTGGTGGTGTGTTTCGGATCGTTATCCTGTTAAAAAAACAATCTCTTCCTCTGGTCCTGTCCATAAAGTCCTATAAATATTGAGTAAAAATTAAGATATCATGATGAAACTTGGTAAAAATGTTACTTGGCCCCCAAGGAGGGTTGGTATTGCAGATAGGTGTAATCGGACCAGTGCCACGCCTACAAAACTCCATTAAACGAAAATCTATAATGTGTAATAACTAAGCACTAAACTAAGATACAAAACTGTAATTTTGTACAGCGCATAACAGTGGTGAGAGGCACTTGTGGCCTAAAAACTTTTTTTTTAATGTGGGCGTGACCCCTTCCTCTAAATGTTTAAATGTATATATCTTTCAAACCACTTAAGCTAACTCAACCAACTTTATTTTTACGCCCAATATTTGACGAAATCGGACTATAACTTTTCACGGACGTAGGCACTAAATATGTGGACACCAGTGCAAATGGCTGATTTTTTACCGAACATATCGGTGACTCTGTTAGTTTTAGTATTGAAATACTGGGAAAATATTTTTGTGATAATATGCCTTATGCCAAAAAAGAATAAAATCGGGTCAATAATTCCCTTAGTCGACATATAATATATAAATATTTTCGAACTTCCGGTTGACTTTATACCGCATCTATCGGTCAATATTTAAGAAATCTTAATGAAACTCCGAAAGATCTCTTTCTAATAACAGTGGATTTTCTTGCATATGATCGCAAATAATGGATGGACTACTGCCTACTTTTAATTAAAATATATACGATAATCCCGTATATCACTTTGCCTAGCGGGAGTATAAAATGTTCGGTTACACCCGAACTTAGACCATCCTTAGTGGTTTTTATATTTCTTTGATTCACTTGTATCACATAGACTTTTAATTAGCTAAAAATTATAGTATGAAAGAAAATTTGATAAGTTTGGGTAACATGTTTGGTAAATAATTATATATTTGGCAAAAAAATAACAATACGGACTCTGTTTTAATTACCAAAGCTTAAATGCAAATCAGCTGTTTATTGTCTTCTGAATGGAAAGACAAGTGTGTGTTATAATTTTTTTTAAATACGTTCAAAACAGGCATTAAATGCTGATGAATAAAATATTTATATTTAAATTCTCAAACAATTTATCAAATCGATAAACAAAAAGCAAAGTTTTACAGGCAATTTATCACATTATACACCGGCACAAACAATCAGCTGATTTGAAGTTTAGCCTAACTAAAGTCGTTTATACACCCGAGTAGACCATACAACAAAAAAGTGTTTGCTCTTGATTGAAAGAATACTAATTAAGGTAGTTTTATATATCTAATGCAATACAACGTTAATATTAATGTACAAACCGTACTACCAACCATACTAGCAAGTGCGATGGTGAGGTTAACCACGTGACTCATCCCCATATACAACTTGTAGACCGATATTAAAAACTGTTACAGAACGGAAACCAACCGAAACAAGAGGTGTGTAACAGGTAGTGAAAGAGGATTGGGAGGGAATACCATTAACATGTCATCAGCATCTCATAGATTATATGCCCCGGGGGTGTGATGGTGTGTTATAAAAAGGGGCTCTTCAACGAAGCATTAAATATTTTATTATTCTGTAAAGCTTTGAAAGTAATTTAGTAAGAGTTAAAATATAGAATAATTCTAATTTTATGTGGAATAAATTTTTTAGTTTATTTAACATCAAATGCAATATTAATAATGATTGATTATTTACTGACATGTTATCAAAGTTATTTCATAAATTTTCCAATCAGCTCTTTCGACCCGATTTATTTCAAGTTTGTCACATTAATTTTGAAAAATTTCAAATTTTATATTTATTTTAAATTGCTCATCGTCTTTCCGAATTATTAGTGAAAAAAACTAGAAACTTGTGTGTCCTGGAAACTGTTAAATTGCAAAATTTTAATCTATTTTAGTGTTTACTTCCTCCGTCGTTATAAACAAAATAATTGAAAAAGCAATTTGTAGTGTGCGGTTTATTTACGCGTGCATGTTTTGATGTGTTTGTAAATGATCCTCTATGTGTCTGTGTTTGTTTGTCCCTGTCTTCAATCTATGGTTTGTCATTGAATCGTTTTGTGTGACTTTATCAATCAGTTCCTGCGTTTTGAGCAGCGAGGCGTTTTCACAATTGGGAAACCTTAAAATAGTTGAGTAGAACTTGGAATTGAAAAAATATTTACATACATTTAAATATATATTTTGTGCGAAAACTCAAAATAACTTAGCAAACTGAAAATTTCAAAAAAAAAAAAACATATATATATATATATATTTATTTTATTTATTACATTTATAGACATCTACGATAACATTTCCTGCGATGGCTTTTTCAACATGAATGCCATGCGTATTCAAACCACTTTTCCGCCAATTGGCACTTTCACTTTGGATTCTACGCTAGGTCCGCCACCGACTCAATCGCAAACTCAGCCACCGATATCCCAACACCCTCCACCGATTGGGATTTTCGACGCTAACGACGTTCCAGAGATCATTCAAAATCCGGCAACAATCGGTGTGTTCCAATCAAATAGCGTTTTGAGTAATGGTGGAGGTAGTGGTGGCGGGGGCGGTAATAACTCCTCATCTATATTTAGTTCGCAATCGAGCTCTTCGTCAGCTGCCAACGATCCAAGTCAAGCCACTCGTGAGACTGGAATTATTGAGAAACTTTTGGTACGTACGCAAAACCTTCCATTCGAATATTGGATCTTTATATATAAATGCATATTTTTCTTTTAGCATTCTTATGGATTCATTCAATGTTGTGAGCGTCAGGCACGTTTATTCTTTCACTTCTCGCAATTCAGCGGTAATATTGACCACTTAAAAATCGGTGATCCGGTTGAATTTGAAATGACTTATGATCGTCGGACAGGCAAGCCAATAGCAAGCCAAGTATCGAAGATAGCTCCAGAAGTGGTGAGTAGAATAAAGAGATACCTATGCATAATCAGTTTCATACTTCATTATATAAACGGCAGGTGTTATCGGAGGAACGAGTTACTGGCACTGTTACAACAGAACTTCGTACTGATTGCGCTAACAATTTACTTTCGTCGAACGAGACAACTGGTCGTATCAGCTATGAAAATCGTGGCGAGTGCTTTTTCTTACCTTATACCAAAGACGATGTTGAGGGAAATGTCAATTTACGCGCCGGCGACAAAGTTAGTTTTCAAATTGCAACTAACCAAAGGTATTTGTTTGTTAATTATATTGTTGTGGTGCAATATTTTTGACCGCTTCGAATTTCACAGAGGTAACCTTGGTGCTTGCCACATTCGTTTGGAGAATCCTGCACAGCCTGTTAAGTATCGTGGTGTTGTATGCTCCATGAAAGAATCGTTTGGTTTTATTGAACGTGCTGATGTCGTCAAAGAAATTTTCTTCCATTTTTCTGAAGCTGAGGGAAACGTTGAGTTGCGTCCAGGTGACGATGTGGAATTTACCATACAAACTCGTAACGTAAGTATCCTTATAATGAGCATTTAGATATTTGACCATTGCCCATTTTGCTGATTTGAATTTGATTGGAAACATAATTAAAAATTACGCATTTCAGTATCAAAAATTTAAAAGAAAAATGTATAAAATGTATTTTTTTAAATAAATTTTGGTAGCTAAAAACAATATTAATATCTTTAGTAATAGTATTTGAAATTGTTTGCACGCACACAAAGCCTTACATTCATTCATATACAATAGTTTAATATAAAAGGTATATAATATAATGTAGAAATTGTTTCTTGTTTATCAGGGTCGAGAATTTGCTTGTAATATAACGAGATTAGCACCAGGATCCGTTATATTTGAGGACGTGGATACCACGATCTACAAAGGGCAGGTGTTGAAGCCCCTTGACCGCAATAATCCAACTCGGCAAACTAATGACCCATTACCCGGTCGTATACGGTATCGAGCACCGGACTATTCGGAAGTAGAAGTTCCATTTGGGGACAAGGATCAGGTAAATGCAGAAGGAAACCAAACTATGATATAAATACTAATTTTTTTTCTAAAGAAGGGTGACTTTACTTTGCGGCATGGCGACTGGGTTCAATTTTTACTCGCGACTGATAGGCGCGACCAACTGCAACGTGCTACTTCGATTTCTTTACTAGATGAAACCTTTAAGGTTTCTGGTGAGAAGCGTGAGCAAGGTGTAGTTGCTTCACTTAAAGACGGTTTTGGCTTTTTACGTTGTGTTGAACGCAATTTACGTTTATTTTTTCACTTTACGGAGGTGTTGGATACTGTAAGTGTATTTGGCACAATATGTATAAATCAAATTAATAACTTAGTTTAATTTTCAGAGCCGGGAAATCGCTGTTAATGACGAAGTTGAATTTACAGTCGTTCAAGAACCCGGTGTTCCATACAATACATCTCGCTTGCATGCCATTCGCATAAAGCACCTACCACCAAACACGGTGCAGTTTGAGATGCTAATGGCAAGTAATATTGAAGGTAAGGCATTCAATTACTTTTATTTAAAATAACTTCAAAATAAACTTAATTTGTCAATGTGCTTTTTGTGATAGGCTCTGTAACACGTGAGGCGCCTAAAAGTCCTGTCAAGTCCCAAGATCGTGTAGAAGGCGGTGTGATCACATATGATCACGGTGATGTCAAAAAGACTATAATGTATTTCCTTAAAGACTGCGAGAAACCACCAAGAATTGGAGATCGTGTACGATTCGATATCTACTTGGTGAGTATGTGATGTACGGAATTCCACAAGGGGTATTTTAAGTATTTCAAAGATAAGTTATTAATTTTGCTTTGTTATCCTCTAACAAAATCAATCAAGGTCACAATTATTTATATTAACTTTAATTTAACAGTTTTTAATAAAACGGCATAGTCTGTCCGTGCAAGCGATAACTTGAGTAAAATTTAAAATATCTTGATGATGAACATCGTATGATAACCACGCCCGCATTCGATGTAACGGTTATTTTAAAAACAACTAAGAGTGCAATAACTCGTCAGTAGCATTCAATTTTACAGCTAAGATGATACTTAAGTGTTTCAAAAGAAACGGTGCAAAAAATTAACAATGGATATGGTACCGGCCACTTTTAGGCGAATCTCCATATCTCAGGAACTACTCGATTAATTTCAATGAAATTTGGCGTATAAAATTATATTCCTGTCCTTATGTCACGGTAAAGTGAAAATGGGCCAAATTGTATTACAACCACGCCTACTTCCCAAATCTATTTGACTTTACAGTATATAAACCAAACACTGACGAAGGTATCGAAATAAAACTTTGGACAAATAGTGCTTTTAAGATAGGCCATCTCATGACTAAATTGATTGATTTTCAAGTCTACAGATACCGAATATGTGGATTTCAGTGCTGGTTAATAAGATAACAAATATGTTTGTTATTCATTCACGGTCTCGCCAAAAAAAAATGTTTAATTCTTACGCAATTTTTCTTAATATAGAGTTTTGCCAACACCTGGAAGTACTTCCCCGGCCTTGATCCTTGCACATCGCAAGGGTATAAAAATGTTCGGTTACACCCGAACTTCCTTTCTTGTTAATATAAAGTTTTGCCAATACCTGGCTTTGATCCCTGCTACTTGCAAGAATATACATTTTTCGGCTACATCCGAACTTAGCCCTTCCGTACTTGTTTTATATTATTTATTCATTTACATAATATTAAATCCATCTGTCAAAGGAACAAGCACAGGCCTTCGTTAAGTCCCCTTGTTATCTCAGAACACTCAAATTACTTGTTAAGAAGTGAAAATAGAATTCTTCGCACATTCAAATTAAAATTTAGGTGGTCCGAAAGATAATAGGCATAAACGCTAAATGTAAACTAAATCGCAAGAAATTCTAAAGAAAACATCTGTTCATATTTTATTTCACCTCCGAATAAACATCATGATTTCAAGAAACGATTCGGTTTTGCGGCGTGTTCCTCGCCACAAAGTATGTGAAGTTCATATGAACTTACTACATCCCCACACAACTTCATTCCATTCATTGGAACAAGTTGTTGAACAGTCATTGGCGATAACGGGAGGTATTCAGGAAAGTTTATATAACTCTTGAACGCTATTTTTTTAGAGAAGTTGTCTAATGTCGACAAAACATGATCTTCAGTTTTTGTAAATAATTTTGACTTAGATGTAACTTGGTTACCCCTTATGAAATTTAATTATTTTTATCTATTATATTTTCAACCATCCAGGTAAAACGAAACAAAGAATTCATTGCTGTAAATGTACAACTAATTGGACAAATGCAACAAATACATCAGCAACAATTGCAACAACAACAACAACAGCAATCACAACATATGTTAATCAATACAACGAACCAACTACAACATCAACACATGCACAACCAAAACAATGAGCAAATGCTACTGTCCAATGGTGTCGGGGTTGGTCTTACAACCGGCATTGGTGTTAACGTCGGAATCGGAGGTAACACCGGTGGTATGTTGATTCCACCACAAAACGGTTATTTACCACAGACTAATTCAACTCAGCTGCTATCCACACCAAAGATTGAAGACTTCAAATTGGACAATAATAATTTAGCAATGAGTGAACATGGACAAACTTACCGTGGCTTTATTGCTGTCATCAAAGAAAATTTTGGGTTTATTGAGACGCTTTCCCATGATGAAGAAGTCTTTTTTCACTTTAGCAATTATGTTGGCAACCCTAACTGGTTGGAATTGGGTCAAGAGGTTGAATATACCCTTTCGCCGAATGGAAACACATCCGCCTCTGGAAACTGCTTACCGGCCGAGAATGTGCGCACACTACCAAAAGGTTCCATACCACAGCCAGCCATTTTGGATGCAACTCATAATGGCATAGTGGCACGTCCACTACGTTGCATCAATCCCGATCAACAGGAATATGCTGGACTTATTGAAGTTTTGGATGAAACTAAACAAAGTGTTTTGACACAGCACGAATTCGGAATCACCAGTTTGGTAAATAAGCGCGATTTGCTACAAAAAGGTGATTTGGTCACATTCAAGATTGACGAAATCGGACGTGCTGCTGATATAAATGCTGTACGACAAAAGAAACGTGCAACTGTTGATTCAATTAAAGGACAATTTGGTTTTCTCAATTATGAAATTGAGGATGGCAAAAAGCTCTTCTTTCACATGTCGGAAGTGCAAGGCAATGCCGTTGCTTTACATCCAGGTGATACTGTTGAATTTTCGGTGGTTACCAATCAGGTAATATTATTTTATTATTTTCGCAACATTTCAAAAAATTATCAGCTATCCCGAGAGTTTTAAGAGAATCTACATATGAGTGGTTTATGTTTTGTAATCCCTGGAGTAGTTTCAGATTGTAATTTATCGAAAAACCGTAAAGTGGCGTAACACATTCAAATATCAAGCTTAAATACCGTAGGCCCACAGTGTGGAGCCACATTTGCAGTTTGACATGTTTGGGAAGGGGGTTCATCATGTAATAGGCTTCAATAGTGTCCCTGATATTTATATTATTAGGTAAAGAAAAAACTTCGTTCGGTTTTTTATTGGTTTTTCAAAAGATGATAACTTTGTGTTCATTTGTCCGATATAAGTCAAATATGCGCCGTTTTGTTCGTAAACTTGTTGCCAACTTCAATATACCCCTCTTGTAGAAGGCTGTGTCCCTATTGGCAAAAAACTGGGAGAGCCAATTTTCACAGGCCTCTCTTGAGGCCAACTTATCACCATTAAGCGCGTTCGCCATGGACAGGAAAAGATGGTAATTACTTGGTGCCAGGTCCGGACTATAAGGTGGGTGCATTAGGATCTCCCATCCGAGCTCCCGGAGCTTCTGGCGTGGAACACAATTCGGCCTCTGTTGATCAAAGATGGCCTCTTCTGGATGAGTGCTGCCTTCAAGCGGTCCAGTTGTTGGCAGTAGAGGGCCGAATTGAGCGTTTGGCCATAGGGGAGCAGCTCGTAGTAGATGATTCCTTGCCAATCCCACCAAACACACAGCAAAACCCTCCTGACCGTCAATCCGGTCTTGGCCACCGTCTGGGCCGCTTCCCCGAGCATTGACCACGACCGTTTGCGCTCGATGTTGTCGTAAGTGACCCATTTTTCATCGCCAGTCACAATCCGCTGCAGAAACGGGTCGATTTTGTTGCGATTCAGCAGCGATTCGCAGATGGAAATTCGGTTCATGTTTTTTTGCGTTAGTTAGTGTGGCACCCAAACATCGAGCTTCTTTTTGAATCCAAGATTATGCAAATGGTTTCAAACGGTTTTCTGGCTTATTTTTAGTTCCTCAGCAATTAAACAAGTGCTCACGTGATGGTCTGTTTCCACTATTTCCATGATTTTATGGCAATTTTCGACGACAGGCCTCCCGACGCGTGGTGCATCTTTGACATCGAAATTACTGGTGTCTTTGCTGGTGTCCATCTTTGACGAGCGCTCACAACGTAGTGAATCAATCAATCGAAAAACTGTCAAAGACAAACTTTTAGAGCAAATAAACACGTTTTCAGCGCCGTGTATAGTGACATGATGCGGCACGTACCACTAGTACTATGGACAATAACGCCATCTCTTAGATAAAAACCGAACGAACTTTTTACTTGACCAATATAATCCTCATCAAATGAGATGTGACATAAACTTAACCAAAGAGATGTTTTACATATTGACCGATATGTACGGTATAGAGCCACACAGAAGTTCGAAACTCTTACATTGGAGTCGTATTGACCCGATATTTTATTAATTTTTAACATTACGAAGTATTATTATCAGAAAAAGACCCTATAAGTTCCATGAAAAAATCTCACAGATTGACCGATATACCTATGTGGTTTAAAGTAAACCGGAAGTTCGAAAGTTTTTGGAATTAGGTATATGGAAGCTAAGGGATGTCCTGGCCATCTTTGACACACGAGCACGTTATATGAATCTCTATGAATTTAAATAGTATATTTAAAGATTGAGCGATATTTTCGGTAAAAAGGCACCATGATTCATATGGTATATTCGGTATCAAGGGGCAGTTTTTGTCCGCTTTCGACTATTTCTAGACGTGAGATAACATACATTCAAGCCGCTATTTGTGCACAGTTTCATTTCGACAACTGCTGCTTGATTTATATTTATATACTGTAAAGTTAAAGAATCAGATGGAATCAAAAATTATGATGTTTTGGAAGAAATGTGCAAAGTGATCTGATGTCGCCCATTTCTACAATGTACCATAGAAATGTTAATATAATATGATACACCAAATGTGGTGAAAATGGTCAAGTCGTACCTGAAATATTTGATTTCATCAAAAAATAGGCGGTGTCACACCCATAGTCCAATTTTGGATCTGTCTCCTATATGCCATCTTGCTTGTGAAAATTAATGCTTCTGACGTATTTATTTAATGAGTTATCGCTCTTTTAGTAGTTTTCAACATAACCGTTATAATTGTGTATAAAGAGGTGACGTTGCGTACACAGCAAGTTTAGTTGATATAGCTGTAGTGGTTTGTGAGATATGTACATTAAACGATTAAGGGGGCGATATCCTTCCGTACTACGATGCACTGCATCAGTTTTATATCGTAATTTGGTTCTTAGTTAGCTCTTTATAAAATTTCGATTAAGGGAATTGAGCGTGGCAATGGTTCGATTCCGCTCCCTTGGGCGCCAATGATACGTGAATTAAATTTCATGACGATATCTCAATTTTTACTCAAGTTATCGCTTGCACAGACAGACGAACGGAGGGGCAGAGAGTCATTCGGAATTCAACTCCTCTCGTTGTACTAATTATTTATAGTAGAGTCGCCAGTGGTCGGAATTCGACCAATAGAAAATACAATTTATTAACAATGTTAATAGTATTTTATTGAACAATTTGAACAAAATGTGAACAAAATCTAAAAAAAGTTTTAGAAAACCAACTAACCAACTAATTAACCTTGGAAAAAAAGTAAAAAATTTAACCATCAAACAATGCTATTGAAATTTACCTAAACATTTCTAACTCACCAAAATAAAATGAACGTTGTCAATGATAATGTCGTTAGAAGTTGCAACAAACCAACCGCATGCAAAGAAAACCTGAAAAAATTTAATCTCTTTATGTTTCGTTGTTGTTGTTGATATTAACTATCACACAATGCACTTGAAATTAGTTCAAAAATTTCTAACTCACTAAAGTAAAACGAATGATATCAAATGTTATTTCCACTTCAATGTGTTTATTTTTCTCACAATGCTTGAAATTGCATGTGCGTTAAAAATGTAATGGTAGAAGAATTCATTGTTGCACCACACAAAGTCCAAACACAATTAAAAGTGGAAAAATCGCAACCACAAACGATATACAGTTATCCGAAACATGTATGGTATTTGCAACTTATACTGAACAGCGACAAAATGTACTTCTGTGCACGACTGTGTTAATTATGACGCGCAAAGGAGAAATATCATCGACCAATGAAAACGAGCCATTTATACACATATGTCAACAGCAACACAACCAAAACTTTTTGTTAGCGTAATTATATATAGATATAACTCTTTATCTATCTCGATTAGTTTTAGGTATTTTAAACAACCGTTAGGTGAACAATATTAAGCAACACCGAACATAGAGATGTGGAATCGTTATTGTTCGATACAAATTATTTTATTTTTGTTTTTTTTTACTAAAAAGTCGTTGATGAACCATAAACCGTTTTCTACTATTTATATTATTATAGCGCAATGGTAAATCATCAGCTTGCAATGTACTGAAGATTAACGATCGACCAGACCGTTTAATATCCCGCTTAAAGTTAAATGCAGACGATACTGTGCCACGATTAATCATCACTCGAGCACCACGAGGACCGCAAAGCAAGGGTTTCTTGCCTCAAGCACGCATTGCACGTATTCCAGGTGGGTTTAAAAGTAAATTAATAATTTTTGGTTGTTCTCTACAAGCGTTGCTATTTGCTTTTGTTTCAGGCATTTTAATTGAATAAATTACAGCAGTATACATACATTTCTGGAAGGCGTTGTAGCCTTACATGATTTAATATCCGCAACACCACATGGAATAAAAAATGAATAAAGATAAATTGAGGGTGCAGGATAAGCGAGGAGGAGGGAGCAAATAAATATTATTTAACAGAATTTATAGTATATATGTAAGCAGTGTGGAGTGCTTGAATATAAATATTTAGAAGCAAAGAAATGCGTAAGGCCACATCTCTTCCTCAGAAAAGAAAATAAATATGGCATATTTATTAATATGAATACTAAAATAACACAATACAAAATATCTTAAATAAAGGAATACAGTAATAAAAACAAAATATGAACTGCTTGAGTAAAATGACAAAATGAAATAAAAAAGAAGTATATGAAATATGACAGAGATTGTAAGCATGCAATGCATATGCGCGATAGAATACAGCTCAACATTGCTTATCTCTCTATTTATATTTAAACAATTTACGGAAAAAATGCCAAAGTGCAAACGGATTTTTAATTATAATTTTTATTTCTATTTGAAGTTAATAATAATACCATTATGATGAGTATTCAAACATGTTTGAAGTTCAAAATTAAATGAAACTGCTGAAGTAGACACGAGTCAATGGAGTGATAGTTGGAATATAAACAAAAGCCACGGTAAAAATGCAAGAAACACATATAACTAAACCAGTATCAGAACGATAACAAATCGTGCTCATTTATTTATTGTCCACTTCTATCTTTTATTATCATATATATAGTTTATTTTCACGGAAGAAATTCCTTTTACTTATATGAACAGTTAATGTGACTAAATTGAAATTATTATAAAAGATCAACATACAATCTAAAATCCATGAAAACTACCCTAATAACAAAAGCTAAGGCCTATTATTAAGTAAATGCAAATACCAAGAGGTCTGTCATCCAAGCGTAATCATATTCATTCACTTTGTGTTAAGATTCTCAATTACATACATTCAATTTCTGATGTTTTCTGTTGTACAAAATCACTGGTACAATGCCATATTAAGACTACTGTATGAACTTTTCATACCATTTTGGTACAAACAAAAAGTTTCTGTTGTCTCATTTTTACATATTACATTGATTTAACAAAGTTAATTATATTTGGCGGTGCGCTCCCTTGAATTGCTTGTTTAGTATTTTTAACAAAGAATATATATTCTCATTCTTTCACATACATATTAATGGAAATAATTACACGCATACCTATTGTGTCACACATAATCGTAATATGCTGCGAAAGCAATTAAAACAAATGAATATTTTAAATTTATAATTTTTATTAACGTATTTCCTTTGAAAACCAATAAAAGTTAAAACTTTCAAGATGATGTAAATGAAGCGAACACACAAAATTAAACCAAGTTTAGTATTTAATTATAAAATATTATTTATATGATTACAAATGATTTATTATTGTAATAATGGTGATGAATTGAAAACTGTTGCACTAAATCAAACAATTAAATGGTAAATTTAAGGTAGCGAATTCAATTTGCTCCTTTCATTTGCAAAATACACATATATAAAGAATAAATTAAAAAGGCAACAAAAAAATAATAATTTAAGTAAATAAGAAACCCCCAAAATAAGCAAAACCATAAAAAAAGTAAAAATAAAGTATATTAAAATATTTATAATAATATCCAAGAAAACAATGAATTTCAATTACATTCAAAATTGGGATCAGTCCTGCAGCCATGTTAAAATTATAACAACATACAAAACCAAAAATATAAAAAGATTGAAATGGAAGGAATATATATTTGTTTGAATATCAATAAAAACGAAACATCAAAAACATCACAACAACAAACATGAAAAACATAAAACTGCAAAAGTAACAAGATGCAAACTCTATGAAATCAAATAAAATAAATACATACTTCACTAAAGCTATAACTCACGCGGCCTTTTATTGCTTTTCAACGCTAGATTAAATTTAATTATGTTCTGATAAAATCGAATAACAGTTTGGGGGAAACTAAAACACTTACCATGAGTGGCCTTTCATATAATTAAATTTTTTTTTTTGAAGTTCTAAAAATCTTAATTAAAATTTATTTTTTATACTAAATATCGGAGTTAGTCCCAAATACGGGATTAAAAACTAAAAAAAATGTAATCCCAAAAACCGGAAAATTATTTTAAAATTTTTGAATACTCTAGAACGCTGATCGGCAATTATCAATTAATTTTCATTTTTGGATTAAAAATTAAATTTTTAATTTTTATTATTATCTAAAAAAAATAAAATTTTCAATTTTTAATTCAAAACATCTCGGATCCGAAATCGGAATTCAAAATTTTAAAGTCCTAACATCTCGATTAATTTTAGGTGTTACAAACAACAGTTATGCACATATTGCAAGAGTATAAAAATTAAAATTTATTCAATAAGTCCTTTAGTGATTTTGAAAGTAATATATTTAACAAATTTAATACTCAGACTAAAAAGAGTGGTATTTGTAACTGGTATTGCCAGTCAGTCAATTTAAGATTAGTGTGATGGAATTAAATACTGAATCAGGAGACGAAAGAGACAATGAAGTCGCGATTCTATTGGCGAACAGAGTGTCACAAAACGGATAGAGGAATTGTTTATAAAATACCTTGATCCAGTCACCGAGCTTAAATATTCGATCACCGGGATTAAAACTGACCTGTCTGGGGTAGCTGATCTAGAAAAATGTGTCAATTCAGTCGAGGACAATGAATGACAAATGTACATGTTGGTAGTGAGTCAGGAGATGAATGTTTAATCTCGGAGGTGATCGAGAATTAAAGACATCTCATTTAACGTACCTGAATCCACGGAGCCGTTGGAGACCGATTTTACACGAGAGCCGGTTGAAGCAATTAAATTTAGCAATGGTATGCCTAAAATTGTCGACACACATTTCTTTCGTGCCACAAAAGGGAAGCCAAGAAAAGCTTATACTAAAATATAAGAGGTTTGAGAACTAAACTGAAAAAGTTCCAAACTTCAACAAAAATAAAAAATATTGATATTTTTTGTTTGACTGAAACAATGCATCAATCTCTGATGGTAATTATACAACTGTCTTACACTCTTTGGAAGAAATAGAGAGGACAAAACTAGTATATACAGACGTGGATGAGGAGTATTCATCATAAATTGAAGCCATGATTAATAACGACGATTACCTACCCTAAATATATATAAAATTGAATTCCAAGGCCAATCTAAGTCAGTAGAATACAGTATGATGTACTTATTCTTACTAATTAAAAATACAAATTACCTCGCATTAAACAGATATTTTTTTGGCAATCATTGGATCGAGATCTATAGACTTCAAGTCGATGATAAAGTTAATTTCTATTGAATGCTATGGCAGGTATTTATTCAAAGTTGAAAACCTAATAGAGACCAATGCTACACAATTTTGGAAGTTCGTGAAAAATAAGAGATGCAATCAAGTAGGTTCTGGAATCCGAGTGAAAGTGAAAATTAAAATGAATACAAAAACGAGTAAACTGGGGTTTGGTCATGATTCAATTATAAAAGGTTGTGTCGGTACGGAGAGTGCTTTCTCTTACGAAAGAAGTGTTTCTAAGCATAATGTCAAAGAAACTGTTTTTTTCTTTTTATTTTGTGTAATTTACAATCTATTTGTATTCAGTTATCACTCAAAAAACGTATTTTCATTGGTCGAAATCTTTGAGAAAATTTATTTTTGAATTATAAAATCAAAACAATATAAAGCAAAACTTTTGACAATTGTTGTTTTTGGGCTATCGACACAACCTTATATAATTGAATCATAATTTTGGTGTTTTGAAAAAACGAGAAATTTGTTCATTTTCGTTCTCGTTGTTATTCCATCATACAAATGAATAAAAGCTTTTAAAATATTCAAAAAATAAAATATATTAAGGTAATAATAAAAAATGAGTGCGTTAAGTATATTTGCAACGATAATCAAATGGACCCACCAGTTTCTCTAGCTTCAGAAACATTGTGAGCAACTTTTTTCCTAATGAAAGCCTTCACATCCAACCAAATCTGATAAAAAATTAGCTTCAGAAAACTTCTTTAGAATAGCAAAATTCTAGTTTTTTACCTTTTTCCAGCCAGAAATGTCTTGTTTTGGTGGACCATGTAACAGATGTACTTTCTTCGGAGTTAGTCTTATTGACATACCAAAAAAATAATTCGGTTCGCGCCACGCATCGCCCGTTGCGTCCACCACGTTGCACGCGCACCGCTATGCTGTGGGTCAAAGTGTCAAAGAAGACCCGAATGTGCCTATTCGCGCATGTTAATTGGAGATGCGCCCGTCACTTTATTTATTTACCAAAGGGATCTTGGTTTACGCACTTACATAATTCAACTCATGTCGGAATTGAAGCCGAACGACCATTGTCGTTCGGTGAATGAACCCAAAATGAGATGGCCACCGAACCCGATTTTCCCCAGAAAATTTTTTTTAACGATAAAGTCTACTTTTGGTTAAATGGGTACGTACCATTGTTGAGACGCCGTTAAATCTTCAAAAAGTCACTAAATTGTGTGCTCTATGGGCACAGGGAATCATGGTCCATATTTCTTCGAAAATGAAAGCGGCCATAATGTTACAATCATTGAAGAACGCTGGTTTATGATTAATGGTTTTTTATGCCCGAATTGGAGGATGTTGATATTATTGCTGACAATTGCTTCAAAAGGTGTTCAAAAACTGAGCCTCTCACTTGACCGAAAAAGTTTTTAGGTCATAATGGCAATGCTTATTTTTTCTGCATAATTTTAGCACTTAAATTTACTTACATGTTTGCGAGCACCAAATTCACACAATTGATTTGAAGTGCATAATAACCGAATATTTTCTTGTGAATTCGTTTTTTAGAACACTCATTTCCACTCGGAATTAATTTTGAAAAAAAGGTGAAAATTAAAGAGTAAAAGTGAAATATAAAACATCGAATGTCGGATTGAAAGTGGATTTGCTTGAAATTCACTCGGAAGTGAATTACAATACCTCCTGAATAACCTGGATATCACATCCACGATGAACTGGGGCGACAGTACAGACAGTAACTGTTAAAAAGTAAACGCACTTTTGGTGTCTTACATCAAAAGTATCTACTCGGATGTCAACACTGCACCGATACCCCATTTTGATAGACAACGCATGTGGAAATGTAGTGTAGTAAAACACTAACAGTTGCCTTTGATGAAATATTTAAACACCTCTCTAATCTAAGTATTAACAAAGTAGACGGACCGGATTCTTTACCCAAAAATTGCTCATGTATTGTGCAGCAAGTCTCTGCGCGTAAATGGCACATATTTTTAATAAATCACTGCAGCTCAGCTTAACTATAGACCAGTCTGTATACATCATTATTTAAAAAGGCTATACTACCACAAGTTACACAAGCCTTTAAAGGGATCTTATCAACTCGGCAACACGGTTTCATCAACGGCAGATCTAACGTGTGCCCTTTACTATTCACGATATTTATCAACGGTATAACTGATGGGTTTAAATCGGATTACCAGCTTTATGCTGATGATATGAAGATGTTTAGAGCGTCTAAGTGTGATGAAGACGTCTACATACTCCATCAAGACGTCAACTTGCTGCATGGTTGGTGTAAAAGAAACAGGTTAAAGCTTAGCATTTACAAATGTGTAATCAGGTCTTTCTCTAGAAATCGTAAATTTCGCCGTGCCAACCATCACATCGGGGACCACCGTCAACCATGTTTACAGAACATAAAAGACCTCGGAGTAATCTTTCACACCAAGCTCACGTTACTAAAGTAGTCTCACAAGTATTTTGACTTTGGACTTGGAACTTTATCCAAGATGAGGAGAGCTTTCTTTGGAAGTTTCAGGTAGAAACTTGGTTTTTTCAAGAAGCAATTACCAATAAATACGGCTTCCATTTGCATTGAAAATTGCTTCGTGGGTAAGGTTATTGTTTTGTGTTACGTTCTCTAGCTTGTTTATAAATGGTTTCGCACTATCTACATTGGATGACAGCATATCACCACATTCTTTAAGAAGACATATTCCGAAGCGTTTTTTTTAATTTAGTCATCCAACCATCACTGGCAAATTCACATTAAGGGGATATTCTAGTGTAGAATTAAAAACAAAAACGATTTTTCATATTTTCAAAGTCTAACTATTTAAGAATATGTCTACGAGGGGATTTTTGAAAATTTAAATTATTTTTGGAGATAGACAATTTATTGACCCGGCCTCAAACTGGTTCGGCTGGGTCTAATCGAACAAAAGACTTCATGCACTTCACATTTTTTTTTACTTATCGCTAGTTTATACAAGTGCGTCATCATTGCAGATTGACAATCCTTTTTTTCATTTCAGATGACTAGGAGGGTTGAAATCATGGGTATGCTCATGTACCAATTTTTGAAACCACTCACTTCATTAGCTGCCAGTTTTTTTAATTATTAACTTTTTTAAATTTTTTTCGGTACTCTTGTAACATTAATAAATGACTGAAAAAATCTATAGTAAAAATATTGATTGCCTTTTTTTCTGACACATGAAAAATTGCCTAAAATGCATGTCTCTAGTTGTAGACTAGAATACCCCCTTAAAAGACACGAATAAAATATTTTAAACTGATTGAATTACGTTTAAAATGCAAAGCCAATGAAAACTTAAATAAATTCATTTATATTTTCTGCAGATGTTATATAACAGTTTAAATACTGTTGCTTTAACAAAACCTATTAGAGATTATATTGAATAAAAAATATATATTTCGTACCAAAACAGTATTTTTTCATTTCGAGCGCAGAAACTTTCAAACCAACCTGTGCGTATGTATATAACCTTATATCTACCTCGATTAGGTGTTAGCAGTAGCTATCAGTTTTAAAGCAATCATATACATTTAACC